GTTATTACATTAATGAAATCCTATAGTAAAATCAAACGTCATTATTCAGACAAATTAGATAAGTGAAGTTGCCTCTGTGATATATATTCATCACTGAACATGTTTTGCCCTTCCCAGTACCTAAAAAATTCCGAGAGAAATATTGCTAAGTGGAAATCTTCACCACATCATGAGGGCCGTCTGTGATTACTACAACATGCACAGTCTGTATATGGTCTTAAATACCATTTGTTCCCTTAAAATAGCGGAAATGTTTTCCCCTTACATTTTGTTTACACTGTACACTCCCTGGGAAATGCTTTCTTTAGTAATCATGTAAAACCTAGTTGGTGTGGTGGTAATGTAGTAAATTCTAAATTAACGTGATCAAATTATTAAAATGTTACTGTGTCTGAAATCTAGGTCCCGTCACTTGCATCCATCATCTACCAAAGTGAGAGACATTAAATAGATGACAGAGGGACTGCTAGGAAATAACATAGCTCACAATCAGAGCTCTTTTCATGGGATTTCACAGGTAATGCTTCTTACGCAGCTTCTGCCAACTGTGCCCTGGTGTGACCACAGATACGTTTTAGAAACAGACCTAACTCTTCTAAATAAAACATAAGTACAATTACAGGACTATAATCCGTCAGTCTTTGATGGCAAAATATACCCACTTCAAGGAAGTGAAGCATCTGTGCTGAAAACAAAGAAAAGTACACCGGCATTACAGCTTAGTTAGACCTCCTTTCTAGGGAATCCAGTTCATGATAAAGAAGTTGTGGCTCGGGGCGCCTGGGTGGCTCAGACGGTTGGGCGTCTGCCTTCGGCTCAGGTCATGATCCCGGGGTACTGGGATCAAGCCCCGTGTCGGGCTCCCTGCTCGGTGGGGAACCTGCTTCTCCCTCTCCCTCTGCCTGCTTCTTCCCCAGCTTGTACACCCTCTCTCTGTCAAAAATAAATAAAATCTTTAAAAAAAAAAAAAGTTGTGGCTCATGATACCTAATTCTGTTGAGGATGCATGAATCCCAGGTGGTAAGAGAAAACAAGGTCACTGGAGAGACAATGACAGTGGAAGAAACAGGAAACACACAAACTGTCCTCAAACAGACAAAGGCCGTAGAGAGATCTTTGTAAAATCGTATTTCTCTGCTTCATCGGGAAATCCTTTCTTTTACCTTGGTATCTTCATCTTCCTATATATATAGCCCACTGAACAGTCACTGAACAATCACCCCGGGATAAGATCACTGTAAAGTTGAGGCTACCCTGCTTAATTAGCCTTAAGGTACCATGAACAAAATTTTCAGGAACATTTTTATCAGGCAATGAAAATCCAAGTGGATTTTTTAATTTATTAACACCCAGGTCATCGTACAGAAAGAGGTTAATACTACTGTCCAACTTAGTTTGGGAGTCTGTTTAGAAATGTCACCCCTCTTTCAAGTAATACACTGATGCTCAAACTGTCAGTGACCAACTTAAATCTCAAAAGGGAAAGTTCCAGCTCCTAGTTCCTGGTCTGCTCCTCTGCTTCTCATCATATACATGTAACAGGGTGGACAAGCTAATGACTGAGTACCTAGCACAGAACTGCTGAAAGATCTAACCAACAAAGAGACTGGATTTCTGTGTGTTCTTTCTGGTCAAGTCCATCCCTGACTGAAGTAAAAGCAGGCCACTATGCCAATGACTAAGTCACCAACTGAGATTATTTTGAGGCTTTTAGCTCTGTCCTGACTTTGGTAGAGTTATTGTTTCTCAGATTTGTCAATCCTGCCACGATGTACATGAAATAAATGGGCTTTCCCTTAATCACAGTTTAGTGTCTTTTCTATTTTTGTAGTCCTCTAAACAGTCCAAGATCCGCATCTGCTACCGCTCAAAGCATTTGCCATGTTCAATTTAAGATATCTGGCTGAGAGTCATCAGTGAATCAGTCTTTTGGCAAACTGCCCATCTGGGGTCTGACCTGAAGCCAAGTAGCATATTTCCCATTGTGACAATTATCTCTTTTATAGGAGCAACTACAATAGTTATTCTAACTTCTAACTACTTCTTGTCTCTGGGAGAAGAATTTCCCATTTTAACCATAATGGGAGAATAAAGAGTCTACTAACTCAAAGTTACCCTAGACATGGGGATTGTCAATTTGCACAGAATTAAAACGTTAGGAAACATATTTAGCTTTGTAGCTTCCCAGCTCTTATGGAGACTCAAGAGTCAACATTATAAGCATAAACTGTCACGGGGCAGACGGCTATTAAAAGGTGTGGGACAGGCGACTCTCTGTCCAGACTCACAGAGGTCACAGAAAGTCAACTGGAGAGGACCTTGCGGTAAAAATCATTCCCATCTGCACGGCTGCCACACCAACTCCGTCTGCAACCTTGCCCCTTCAGCGGTTCACATAGGGACACATCTGACTGCACCTGTGACCACTATGAGGCAGAGGGACGGCTGAGAACTCGCCAGGCCACCCAGTCTTCTAGCTCCTCTGGGCCTAGGACATATGAAGAGTCCAGGGTCTAACATCAAAGGCCCATCATCAAAGCCTCTATTAAATCCAGAAAGAATTTTACACCAAGTGTACTGGGGAGAAAGGAATATGATTTATACTGAGGGTACTGGGGAGAAGGGGATATAATTTCCTTGAGTAAATACAGAGTTAATTTTCACCTTCGGCTGCTTTCAAGGAACATCAAAGACCCATGACACATGGTGCTGGCAACCTGTCTGACCTGCTACTTAATTAGTTCCTGAATAATAGTTAAAGGTTGAGCTGTCATAAATCGAAAGCGTATTTCCTATAGGTGCAATGTTATTTAAATTGGGGTTCATTCCTGGAAGTCCTTTTTACATCACAAAACTAGCAAAACATCATAAAAAATAAATATAGGACTTTCTAAAGTTAAGTGTGTAAAACCCAACATAAAAAAAAAGCTCAGTACAAACATTACTTGTGGGAACTCTTCTGCATGGCTGACACTAACTGAGTCTTCTTAAAGTCTGAGTCCACTGAAGTCTGGACTGCAGAGACCATCTCTTCCGGCTGGCTAAGTGTCCCCGAGGGAGGCAGAGATGGGTATTTCTTGTAGCAAGGATCTCTGAATTTCGAAGCATATGACAGACTCAAGGGAAAAAAACAAAGGCCCAGTTCCCTCAGCTAGCTGTGAGGGTTTTACCTAGGTGACCTCTACAGCCACTTCAGCTTTCACATCCTGGGACTCCACTCACATGTCCACACGTGCCTTCCAAAAATGCCACTTCACCTACCACAGTCTACAGTGTTCTAACCATGCGTTTTAGCCACTGTACTAAAAAATTAATATCCTTGAGAAAAATATGTTTACAAGACGAATGTAAACTGGCATTTTTCAGAAAAGAACAAGAAAGTTTCCAAATTGTTTTCTTTCCCCTGTATTTTTCTGTACGAAACTAGTATTTGAAGGAATACCTATTGCCCTTCTACCTTATTTCAGATGGACTTTTATCAAGTTTACTTTAGAAGTCAACCTCCGAAGTACACACTGTACACTCTTGTACACTCTTCCTTGAGCGTGGTCCTTCATGCAGTGAAGATTAAACACTGCTATTCACGCTGTGGGATATCTTTTTTTTTTTTTTTTAAATAAAATAAACCTTTATTATGTGAAACAGTCTCCTTCTGTCTCAGTCTGCTTGGCCTGCTATAACAAAATTCCATAAACTGTGTGGCTTAAGCAACTGACATTTATTGCTCTTAGATCTGGAGGTTGGGAAGTCCAAGATCAAGGTGACAGCAGATTATCTGATTCTTAGCGAGGGCTCTCTTCCTTTCTTATAGACGGCCACCTTCTTGCTGTATCTTCACGTGGCAGTGAGAAAGGGAGCTCTGCTGTCTCTTCCTCTTCTTACGAGAGCACTGATCCCATCATGGGGGCTCCACCTTCCTGACCTCATCTAAATCTATTTGTTTCTCAAGGCTCTCCCCCTCCTAAGACCATAATATGGAGGCTTAGGGCCTCATGTGCTGTGGGCTATCTACTGGGTGTCCCAGCGCACCTGACTGCAGCAGTTCTCAAAATGGTGCCTGGACCCCAAGTACCAGTCTCCCATGGCCCTACTGTGAATCAGAAACTCTGGAACTGGGGCCTAGCCTTTGCTTTAACAAGCCTCTCCTGGTGATCCTGATCCTTGTCACAGCCGGAGAGCCACTGCCGTGAGCGTCTCCTTTCTGCCAGAAGGCAAACTACAGCAGGAGTCAAGATAGATTGGCAGATGCTGAGTAAAATGAAGCTGCGGAAGTCCAGGAGAGGAAAGCCTTTTTTGGGTCCAGGGGTCCAGTCTCCTCAGGTTACCTTCCTTCTTTAACCCTATCTCCTCTGGCTGAGAAAGAACCGGAGTCACTGGTGTGTTCCTTGAGGAATGTGTCCTTTCCCCACAGCCATACCTGGACTCAATATGGAAGCAACCATCAACAGGGATCTTAGACTCCTCTCCCCCAGATGCCTGAAGGAATGTGCTAAGGATACTTGTCGTGGGCATTCACTGTCTGTCTCCTGAGCACCCACCCACCCTCTGTTCTTCTAGAAACAGAACTGGTCTGAGAATCCAACCCTTCCCCACTCTTGGTCCGAAAAACAATTGGGATGGGAGAAGGAATTTACCCCTCCAGGGTTAGAGCAAATGACACTGGTCATGCTGGCCTGGCCAGTCAGAACCCTGCACCATCCCCCCTGCACACTTCTTAGTTCCAGACCAATCGAAGTTGGTTTGGTGACAGTGAATCTCAGGACTTCTGAAAGAGCTAATAAGTAGAACCTGGCTCTTTCCTGCTGCATCTCTGGACAATTCCAAGGCTAAAATGGCGGCATCTAACTTACTGTCTTCTTGCCATTTTGAGAAGGCAGAGCTGGAGACTGAAGAAAAACCAACTACTTGTAATATCTGAATCAATGAATAGTGTCATACCTTAAGTTAGAATTATACCTGGACTTTTTAGCCAATAAAATTTCCTTTTTTGCTTCCCCGACTCTCAGCCAGCATTCTGATTACCTGAAAGCATCATAACTGATATGCTGCCCTTTGTGTATTCTTTCTTCCCTCCTCCCTTTCCTTCTTTGATAATTCTAAATTCTGTATCTACCTGCCTTGAATCTCTTTAGTTCTCTATTTTATTTATTGCTGCCTGCCTAATTTTCTACAACACTGTTTTTCAGATATTCCTGCTAAAAGGTCATCTCCCTCTTCATGACATTCGAAACCCCTAGAATCTGGCCTTTTCTCAATTGTCAATATCTCGTATTTCATTTCTCAATTCCAGTGACGCTATTCCATTTATGTTTGCCCAACAAGTTTTCCTAACTCTTGTGATAGAATTTTATCTTCTATTTTCTACATTCCTGTATTTTCTCTATCTAAATCCTAATTTTTTAAGGTCTAGCTTAAACCCTGTCTCTTATCGGGAAGAGTTCACCTATCCTACCAATATCCTCTAAGCTTCATTTTTTGGGGCAATGTATTATTATTTACCTTTCTATATACACACATGTACTTTACCTCCTTGATAAAACTAACTGGCAAGAGGATAAGAATAGACTCAACCTTTATTTCCGTATTACCTAATAAAACACACAAACTTGTGTTTTAAATGTTTGAATTAATCACTGTTAAATACTTTAGACCTGGAGGGTCATTCTCTAGCCATCTCAAAACTGTAAAGTAATTCAGATCTTACCTTCAAGTCAAGATGAACTACATCATGAGCATGTAAAAAGTGGACACCTTCTAATATCTGCCTCATGAGTCTTTGAACATCCTTTTCTTTAAAAGCTTCTTCTCTGTCTGCAACACACTGGTCAAAGATTTCACCCCCAGCAGCACTAGAGAAGGACAGAAGCACACTTTAATTATAAAGGGAAAGGGCTCATTAAAAATATTTAGCCTTTTTTTGTTCTTAATATTTTACACATTAAGTATCTTTATTTAGATAAACTATAATTTGAGTGTGTGTAAATGTCTACTTGCCTAAATCCATTTTTCTTTTTTAAATAAAAATATGAAGCTTCTAATATGAGGTAAGATTAACATTTCCAAAGCTAAATAAAAACATCACTTTAAGAACTTCAAGAATTAAACTTTAATAGTAAAATATATTAACATACTTTCAAGTGAAAATTTCTCTTAAGATTTTATTTATTTATTTGAGAGACAGAGAGATAACGAAAGACAGAGAGAGAGAGCATGAGCAGGGAGGAGAGGGAGAAACAAAACCCCTTTGAAGGACATTTACTTTCTTCCTAGTTATTCACAATTATAAACAATGTTGTGATGAGAAGGCACATTACAGTTTCTCACACATTTGTTCATGTGCCAAGAGCTCCCAAGTGTAGACACCTAGAACGAACCAGCTGGAGTGAAGGGAATGTGCATTTAAAATTTTAATAGGAAGAGCCTATCCTCACCAAAAGTGCAATACTGATTTAAACTTTCTTCTAACCTCTGGGCAAAGCATCTCAGTTTGTTTGTTTTCCTCCAAATAATTTTGCCAATAAGAGGAAAAAAAATAATCAACATTTAAAAATTTTTATTTCTCTTTGGCATAAAGTCCATACTTAAAACACTTTGTTCATACCATAAATGACAGCTCATGTCATATCTCAAAATTTCTTGTATGTGTTTAAAAAAAAAAAATAGACTGGGTTGCTTTCATAAAGTTGTCACAAAATTGACATGAAATATATAACTCCAAACAGCCATGCTGCTCTCAGACCAGAGCTACTTTTTAATTTCCTTTCAGTATGATAATTTAGTTCTTTTTTTCTTTCCTTTTCTGTTAAGCAACCTATTTCCAAATTCTGCCCATATAAGGAAAGACAATTTGTCACCAAAATTAGATAAGAACATATTGAAGTTTAGCTGAACAGTTGCAGGTGATCATTGGCTGATAAGGTTTTCATTTTGGCTAAACCTATACAACTGATTTTTTATTATATTTTGATTATAGTATTAAGAAACAAATATGGGGGCGCCTGGGTGGCTCAGTCGTTAAGCGTCTGCCTTCGGCTCAGGTCATGATCCCAGGATCCTGGGATCGAGCCCCGCATCGGGCTCCCTGCTCCGCGGGAAGCCTGCTTCTCCCTCTCCCGCTCCCCCTGCTTGTGTTCCCTCTCTCGCTGTGTGTCTCTCTGTCAAATAAATAAATAAAATCTTTAAAAAAAAAAGAAACAAATATGAAAGCATTAAAATCATTTTTATGTATTTAACTGTAAAATGCCCATCACATATTCAGGCACGGTTAAAGTAATATACAAGTCATAAGAAAAGAAATGGTGAACATTCACAACATAATTACAGAGTAAATTAATTGCAGCCTGCCAATACCTTATACTGTTAATATGGATTTGATGACCTAAAGCAAAAGTCAGTATGAGCTGGGTCAACTCAGTCCCAAGCAGCTAGAGATACACCAGGACGTAACATATGGCCCCCTGCACGCACACACCACAATTTGCCAGTTACAACTCAGAACTGTCCGTGTTCCTCAACTAAAACAAAGAACTGTATCTTGGTTGAAAAAGTCTCCCAGCAATGTCTCTCAGCTCATTACCACCATTCACAATAAAATTCAATAAAGGTCCATTTACGTAAGTGAGAAGATTTCTTTACTTAAACTTTAAGAGCAATTTATTATAACTTCTTTCCACTATAAGGTGTACCCATCCTTGCTTTAACGTAAGGGTTTCCTTTGTTTTCCCAACAAGTTAAGTAGTTTACATAAGCACAGAATATGAAGTATAAAACTACAGTTTTCTGAAAATTTCCAAGGATGTATTTCAAATGAGACTATTAAAGAAGCTGCAAAGGCTAGCCTAGCCTTCAGTGACCAGCAAGACTTGCACACCCTCTGATACAGTCTGCAATCATCCCAGTTTACATCTGCTTAAATGTAAGCTTGACCCCATTAACTATCATATTAATGAGTAGAACTAAACAAAATTATCCTAAAGAACAGTGTGCAACATTTAAAAGCATCTGTTAAGTATGGTTAACAGGAAGTATAAGAACATTACCAACCACTTCACATGAAGTATCCTTCTTCCCATAGAAGCCAGACAAATGCTACAGGTTTTGTTGTGCCCTATCTTTTAACTACAGCAAGACTTCCACGGTTGTATTATGGTATATTTACTTTAGTAGTGCTTATTTTCCACTACACAGACATGTGTTGGCAAAGATGTGCAGAAAAGGGAATCCTTGGGCACTGCGAGTGGGAATGTAGAGTGGTGCAGCCAGTACAGAAAACGGTCTGGGGGCGCCTGGGTGGCTCAGTCCGGTAAGCATATGCCTTCGGCTCAGGTCGTGATCCCAGGGTCCTGGGATCGAGCCCCGCATCGGGCTCCCTGCTCAGTGGGGAGCCTGCTTCTCCCTCTCCTTCTATTGCTCCCCCTGCTTTTGCTCTCTTGCTCTGTCAAATAAATAAAATCTTTAAAAAAGAAAACAGTATGGAGTTCATCGAAGAATTAAGAACAGAACTTCCATATGATCTAGCAATCCCACTTCTGGTATATATACAAAAGAAATGAAAACAGAATCTCAAAAAGATTTACACTCCCATGTTCACTGACGCATTAATCACAATAGCCAAGATATAAAAACACCTTAGCGTCCATGAATGGATGAATGGAAGAATGGACAAAGAAGAAGTTATACATATAATGGGATATTATTCAGCCATAGAAACATATTCCACTTACATGTGGAATCTAAAAAAGCAAAGCTCCTAGCAACAGAGACTAGAATGGTGGTTACCAGTGGGTGGGGAGGTGGAGGAAAAGGAGAGATACTGGTCAAAGGGAACAAACTTCCAGTTACAAGACAAGTAAATTCTGGAGATTTAATGTACAGCACAGTGGTGATAGTTAATAATACTATATTATATACTTGAAAGTTGCTAAGAGAGTAAATCTTAAATGTTCTTACCACACACACACACACACACACACACACACACACACACACACAAAGTGTAATTATATGACCTGATGCAGGTGTTAAGCTAATGCTCTGGTGGTAATCATTACACAATACATAACTTACAAAATGTTTTATGTCAACTATATCTCAATAAAGCTAGAAAAAATTTTAAAAATAAAACAAATAATGTATATAAAGCATATAAATAATTTACATAAAGCTGGCTGAAAGACTTAGCATAGTGCCTGGCACACAGTAAATTCTTAACACAAATATTATACTTTGTGTTCCCACAGCAACTAGCAAGCATTTCTAGTAAACACCAACACTGCTGCAATCATTTTTCTCTCCTTCACTAAACCTGTAGCACCTGGAGGGAAGAGCTATGCTGTTTTTACTTTTATACCACCAGCACCTATTAGCACCTAGTGCATATGGAGGATACTTAAGTGTATGTGAAATGCATTAGTGACACGGTGAACATAAACCTGCCTGTTTCCCTAACAACAATCTATGGATGTGGCCAAGAATTTTGATATCTCAATATCTAAAAATTTATTTCTCAGACTTTACCTTCAAACAAAAAGTAGAACACATTTTTAGCCAAATCATATTGATCTGTGGTTCTAAAACCATGATCACTGAATCAAAAGAAGCCACCAAAGACTTCTAAGCAGGGAATAGTATCACCACATCTACGTCTTAGTTACCTAACAGAAGCCTGCGGAACATCCTAGAATTGAAGCCAGGGTGATCAGCCAAGAAGCTACTGAGAGTCCATGGGAGAGACAATGAGGACCCAAAACAGAGGAGAAACAGCAAGTACCAAGAAAAAGGGATTCAGGGGTGAGGCTTAAGTGGAAGACTTGGTAATTTATTATATACGTGCTTTTAAAGGAGATAAGGGAAATGAGGATAGAGTCAAGGTTTCTAGCCTGAGCTATGAAATTAGTGGGGTAACAATGGAAATGGGGAACAAGAGAAAAACAGGCATTATCAGGGCAATGCAGGAGTGCACACATATTGATCCTGAATTGATAATGATGTGTGGTTGGATACAGAGATACGCAGTAGGCAGTTAGAACTTAGAAGGTCCAAGGTTGGAGACAAAGATTTGGAAAAAATCACATGTAAATAATAGCTGAAGCCACAAACATAGATTGTTATCAGAGTAAATGTACAGAATATAAATATATGACAAGAACAACACTAAGGAACTCTGGGGAGCACTTGTGTTCATACAGTAGAAGCAGGGTAAAAGGCTGTGACAGATTTAAAAAAAAAAAAAGAGGACCCTGAAAGCCAAGAAAGAACATCATTTCAAGAAAGGTATAATAAAGTGTTTAGAGAGAGTGAGAAGTGAACACTAAAAAGAGAAGACAGATTTTGGCAAACAGGGTTTGAGAAGAGCAGGTGCGGCAGAATGAAGAGTAATGGTGGATGCATGGAATAGCGAAGAACAAAATGGACTAGAAGGTGAGGAAAGCTGTAAATTCAGCCTGCTCCTTTAAAAAGTACAGCAGTAAAGGAAAGAGCAAGCCAGGACTATGGTTTAAAGACAGTCAAAGCTGAGGAAAAGGAATTTTAGGATAAGAGAGACAGCAACACTGGAAGACAAGGGAAAAGAACCGCCTTGGAAGAGGGGCTGAAGAGCTGACAGAGGTCAGTGAACTGATTTAAAGACAAAACAATGGCCCTAGAAAAGGAACGAAGAGAATTAAAGAGCCCAAGTTAAGGTCTCAGCCTCAGAGTTAAGCAGTGGAAACTTCGAACAAAAGGGAAAGGGTGAGGGACGCCGAGGGAGGGTGCCTGCTGGTAGGTATCTGAGAAAAGATGGAAAGTGGTGATGTAGCAAGTGTGTTAAAAGTTTTGAGTAGATCCTGGCAGGGGAGGCGGGGGG